TCTGCAATTTTAAAAGTGCTGGTTTTGGTGACAACTTCATTTTTTTGCTTGAGCCCATACCAACTCAATTGGGTTATATTGGCAATTGTAAGGTGGTAAGCGAATCATTTCGTGTCCTGACTCCAAAGCTAACTGATCCAATTTGTATATCTTTTCTGATCGGTTCTGTTGCACCTGTAAATATAAAGTTGTTTGTATATTCAACTAAATACTTAAAAGAAAACAAATGTATTGCAAATTTTAAATAATAAAATCTGAAATACCTTTTGTAACAGTTCCGGCTTGAGCTCACTATCACTAAACTCAATCCCGTGTTGGCGGAGCCACTCCTGAATTTCACTCTTTTTGTTAGCTGATGTCGGTGCCCGTTTTATTTGCTGGGAGTGGTAGGGTGCGTTGTCCATTATGATGACTGATGGTTCTTCAAGACTCTGCAGCAGCTTTGTAAACCATTCTGTGAAGCCTTCGGTATTCATTTCTGAATGGTAATTCTCGTTCTGCCCTTCACAGCATGGAATACGCATCTGGCTTCGGGTATAAAATCATAATTTGCGCAGCCTGCATGACAAACTGAAACAGCATAATTAAATGAATATCATATTTTGTATTAAATTATTATTAAGTCGTATTTCTTACATAAAAGATGAAAGAACATGTACCAAGAATACCAGCGTAAAATAGCAGCTTAACAGTGTTTCGTATGGTGAGTGTAGAGAACCGAACACCCTTTTTACTGGAAAAGAGGCATTCCATCTTAGTCCTCACGGGTGACAACGCATCTGCATTTTGATTCGCAAACAAGGCCCATAGACATCTGTCTATGGGCCACAGCAACCACTTACCATCAGGTGGACTGTGTTTTTTTTTTTTTTATAGGAGAGGGGGCAAACGAGCATGCGGCTCACCTGATGGTAAGTGACTACCGCCGCCCATGAACAACCGCAACACCAGGGGAATTGCAGATGCGTTGCCGGCCTTTTAAAAAGGAGTAGGCTCTTTTCTTGAAGGTCCCTAAGTCGTATCGGTCCGGAAAAATCCCTGGTGGTAAACTATTCCACAAGGAAGTTGTGCGAGGAAGAAAACATCTTCTAAATCGCACAGTGGTGGACCGCCAATCATCCAGATGGTGTGGATGGTATCGGGAGTTCTGCCGCGATGTGCGTTCGTGAAATTTGGCGGCTGGGATTAATCCGAACAATTCCTCAGAGCCTCGGTCGTCGACGATTCGAGCCGCTCTGCGCTGGATGCGGTCAAGTGGAAGGAGCTGGCACTGGGGAGCCCCTGCCCAGAGATGGGAACAGTATTCCATGTGAGGCCGAACCTGCGCCTTGTAAAGTTGCAGGCGGTGTGCCGGCATGAAATACTGTCCCGCTCTGCTGAGCACGCCAAGCTTTTTAGAGGCCAATTTGGCCTTCTCTTCCAAGTGACCACGAAACTGCACGTCACTCGATATGTCGACTCCGAGGATACCGATACTGGCTGAGGCAAGAAGGGGAGTGCCTTGAAACTGAGGAGATACGACAAAGGGGTTCTTTTTAGCGGTAAACGCGCAAACTTGTGTCTTCTGAGGATTAAACTGGACTAGATTTAGTCGCCCCCAATCCGAGACTTTGTCCAGCAAAGACTCGACTTCAGACACAAGTTTGTTCCGGTACTCGGCGACGTTTTCCCGAGAAATATTGGCCCGGCCGGTGTATAGAGCATCACCAGTGCTGTCATCCGCATAGCAATGAATGTTACCAGTTAGCAACATATCATTGATATGCAGAAGAAACAGCGTTGGTGATAGCACACAGCCTTGTGGAACACCAGCGTTAATAGGCTTGTAGTCAGAACATGCACCGTCTACAACGACCTTGATGCTCCGATCTGCAAGAAAGCTGGTGATCCAATTGCACAATTTCTCGGGAAGCCCATAGGAAGGCAGCTTCGAAAGAAGCGCTTTGTGCCAAACCCGATCAAAGGCCTTCGCAATGTCCAGACTAACGGCCAACGCCTCCCCCTTGGACTCTACTGTCTTCGCCCATCTATGGGTCAGGTAGACCAGAAGATCACCAGCTGATCGACACCGACGAAAACCGTATTGGCGGTCACTAATCAGCTGGTGATCCTCAAGGTACCGGATGAGCTGGCAGTTAATAATGGATTCCATTATTTTGGAGAACAAGGAGGTGATCGCGATAGGCCTATAGTTGGACGGGTCTGAGCGGTCGCCTTTTTTAGGGATCGGGTGGACAAAAGCTGTCTTCCATGAATTCGGGACTACGCCTTGGGAGTAGGAGTACCGGAAAAGACGCGTTAGGACCGGTGCCAACTCCGGAGCACACGTCCTCAGCACAATTGGGGGGATTCCGTCAGGCCCACTCGACTTCTGGATGTCCAGGGAGAGAAGTGCTTTGCGAACTGAGCGCTGTGAGAATAGCACATCCGGCATGGAGCACTCACACCGCGGGATGGTCGGCGGTATTTTCCCCCCGTCATCAAGAGTCGAGTTGGACGCAAAAAGGGAGCCTAAAAGGTCGGCTTTGTCTTTTGCGTCTTGGGCCAGTGAGTCGTCCTCCCTGTGCAGAGATGGTAGTGATGGCTTACAGAAATTCCCTTGGACAGCCTTGGCGAGAGACCAGAATGCACGGGTTCCCGAAGGAAGGCGAACTAGTTTCTCGCCAATTCTGCCTATGTGCTCTGACTTTGCCTTGGCAATAACTCTTTTGAAGGACCTGGAGGCGAAGTTATACTTCTTTTTAAGTGTGCTGGTGTTTACATCCCGAGTCACCGAAGCCGCAGCCCAGGCTTGATAACACTCCTGCTTACTGCGCAATGCAGTCTTACAGGAGCGACCAAACCAAGGCTGAGATCTGCCTCCGATGGGTACCACAGATGATGGAATAAATAGTTCCATTCCCTGTAGCACCACATCAGTGACAGAGTCAGCAACAGCACTGGGATCATCCGGCGAGAAGCAAACCCGCCCCCATGGGTAGGATGCAAAGAAAGACCGCATTCCGTCCCAATCCGCCGACCTGTAATGCCAAACACGGCGGCAACCTGCAGAACGCAACCGCGAAGGGAGCGTGAGTGGCACCATACTCCGGATCAGACAATGGTCCGAAGAGCCGAGAGGGGCATCGACGGAAACCTGATATCCGTCCGGATGAGAGGTCAGCAGAAGGTCCAACAGGGAAGGTGTATGATCCTCCACATCTGGAATCCGCGTAGGCGAAGTAACCAGTTGTGTCAGACCATATGCCAAGGCAAAGTCATAAACAGATCTCCCCGCATGATCGGTTAAACGTGAACCGAGCCATTCGGCATGGTGGGCGTTAAAATCGCCAAGGATCACGATCTCTGCGGATGGGACCTGTTGTAGCAAGGAATCTGTAGCCATTTGGACGTGGTCGATGAGTCGGTCTGTTTCGGCATTACCGCTATGGGACCTATAGAGGCACCCGTAGACGCGCGGATGGTCGTCGCTGTCTACGCGTAGCCAAAGGATGGACAGGTCCGAACCTTCAAGACTGCCGAGGCGTCGAGAACAGATGTCCTCTCTAACATACACGCAAACTCCAGCCCGAGGCACAAAAGAGTGCTCCAATTTGTACCCCGGGTAGGAGAGATACGAAATATCAGTCGGAGAGGAAACCTGCGTCTCGGTCAAAAAGAGCAAGGCCGGCTTCGCCGTCTCGAGATGGTAGTGGACGGCGTTTAGGTTAGAGTGAAGTCCCCTGATGTTGCAGAAATTCACGGATAGCGTGGCAGGGGTCGCCTTGGTATTGTTGCTCAGCTTGCCCCGAGCAGTTTTGTTTTTGAGCGGAATTTTGCCCCCCCCCCAGAATACGCGGGGCAGCCTGAGCACCCACGCTCAGGATTGGAATAACATGGTCGTGGATGCTCAGCGAGGGATTCTCCAGGGGTACTGGTACCCTCCTGGGGTAGTCTATTGTCTAATTCCGCTACCATGTTGACGGGGGGGGGGGGGGAATTGGGCCTCCGGCCACCTGCACTCACCAGACGAAACGCAGAAGCAGAGCCTCTACTTCACGCCGGTATTCTGTGAGGTCGTGGTACCAACCCGGCTCGAGCCGGCCCATACGTGCAACAGCAAAAAACTGCTGCAGGGCTCTACCACCGTTAAAACTGTGTGCTCGTTTGTCACTATCCTATAAAAAAAAAATTAGTTTGCCCCCCTTTCCCGTTTTTGTGTTTAAGCCGCCTTGTCCATCCTTGTCTAACCAAATTCGTTTGAGGCTGTGATTTTGGTTCACCCAAGTCTCATCTAAATAAATTCTTGGTCGAGTGTCTTCACTATCTCTGAGGGTCTTGAGTGTCCTCAGGAATTGTAGCCGCGCACAATCGCCATTGTGTCACTAAAGAAATTCAGAGAGCGAATGCGCAAAAACAAATTTCTCTTCGATATATGTATTAAATTATTATGGCACTAATTTGCAGGTATTAGGCGAGGGTAATAATGGAAAACAAATGACTCATATCAACAATGTCGCACCACCCTTTGTATACCGCACCGCCGCCGTGTACTTACCTTCGATGATTCATTTGTTGTTATTGATAAAGGAGTTGCGCCCGCGCAACATGCTCACCGCCCTAGGCGGGCTGAGGCCGAGCTATGATTTATGACCCCAACTGCACGGACAAAATAATTTTACTTTAATATAATATTATTTATTATAAATCTTAATTGCAAAGTACAACAATAGGAATATTTAAATTTATAAATCCCCAACATAAGGGAACATGTTTAGTGTGTATGTTTATATCTTAAAAGCTAAATTATTGAAGAAAATCGTATTCATAAATTTCTCGAAAACTACATGTTTCCGAGTGCTGAAACTTTGTACATGTAAATTATAAAAGTAGATCTTGGAACAGTAGTCCTTTGAAAGTGTTAACTTTGAGTAGTTAATCTAAAGGTGCCTCACCACTCAAAGAATGAAGAAGAGTACATTTTGCTTATTTTGTTACAATAATAAAGATTATATTTTCAGATAATAGATATAGTGCTAAAGACAATGAGGAGTGAATCAACTTCTCTTACACACTGTGGAGATGTCATAAGCCGAGTGTGCTTGGAACTTCCTAAGTTACCAGTTACTGACTTGGTCAGATGGTCTGATGACAGTGTGCAATCAATAGTGGATGATAGTGATGTTAATATGATGTAAGTGGAAATATAATGTAAATAGCCCTAAAACTATACCATAGTAGTAGGTGCTTATAGTTTTGATCATATTAGGTGCAAAGATCAGTGTAGCTTTTATTTTCAATGGCACACACACACAGGATAAAATAATTATCAGGATCATCAGAGATTATCAAACATCAATGAGTATTGTTTAAAATTTTTAAACTCTTATATTGTCACGCTGCAGCTTTATTATGGTTTTAGCACGAATGAAAACAAAACATACAACAACAGAGTCCTCACCATAAGGTGCCCTAAACATGCCTCTGCAAAGCGTTCTCCTCGTCTTCATAGTACTAACCGACGTCGGTCTTCACGGTACAGAGATATCCTGGCTTCATTGGAGGACAATATCTTATACCAGTCTTCTTGAGTCCATGCCACAAAATTTGGAGCTAGCAAAGCCTAGTAACTCAATGCTCTCAGAGGAATTTAGGGCCACGGGTTGAGTGATGACTGAGGATATAGGCAGTGAGAAGCCTCCTCCTGACTGTCTATACAATAATTTGCACATTTCTTACTTCTTTGAGATTGTGCTAGTCCACATACTTAGTTTTGTTATATCTCAACGCTTGATTTACCAGAAAATGATCATCCCTTAGTTTGGTACATGGTTTTCTTTCAGAATAAGGCCTTCTCTTGAAGCAACCTGTCTCTTGATAGCGCTGCCAGGTCTTTTGGATTGTCTAACAACTAACATAAGCAGCGCAATCAGTTTGCCGGCTTTTATCAATTTATCTACTATTTTCAAGATCGCGAAACAGCAATAACAATACTTAAAAATGTTAAGAAAATGAGATAATTCAATAAAAAGGGACTAAAAGTTAATTAAAGTCAATATTAACTTTTGAGAGTTTGCACCACAAAATGTAAATTTAAATTTGGAACATACTTTTTTAAACACCATGGCATTTTTATAACTGGCCAAAAACATGTTCAAATGACTAAAGCCTTTTTGGTATTGTATTTTTTTTACAAACCCCACTATTGGTCACATAATTTTTTTCTAATTGCAATGAGGGTTTTGCAGCAGAGAAATATCTGCTATATTGTCCCAATACATTTATTTAAAATTCACACATCTTCACACTATTATTCTCTCGGACATACAGGTTTCTTCCAGACATTTTCTTTCACTCCCGAGGATGTGGTACATCAGAACCTAAAAGTGTTCCATTAAAGTTAATAATTTAATGGAATCTAACCTGGATTGCTCCCTTATTGTCTTGAATACATTTACAATATTGAATCTGCTCACTATGTTCTCTTTTTATAAAACTGAAGTGCTGTTCAGGATTTAAATTTCATAGGACTTATGTATTATTACTGTCTCATTGAATTAGTCTATTTTCTTTTTCAGATGGAGGGATGTTCTGCCTGAATGTTTGAATGCAGTAGCTACTTATGATAGCATCAAACATTGTGGCACTGATATGGCGGGTATGGACTATAAAGTGCAATGTATACACACATTGTGTCAGTGTAGGTGGACTGAAAGGCAGCTAGTGCAACTTGCTGCTATGTTTAAGTAAGTTTATTTGTGCAATAATTTATTAAATTGACCAGTTTTTTGAGTTGTTTATTACTATGAGATCGACATATATTTTTATTGCTGAAGAGAGAACAATGCAAAATGTGCCAAATACTGCAATTTTGAAAGGCTTGTAACATACCATGAGGTGGATTGTAAGCCTGAGAAGACCTGGTATTGGTTACTATTACTTCTTTAAAAAAAAACTGTAGGAGAGTTGATAAACAAGCTCCAAATAATGCAGACATAAGTTATAAAGTGATGGCAAATAGTTATCCAACATTAATACAGGGACACTCAATTATCAAAACAATTATTTTCAATGATTATATGTAATAATCATGCAGTAATGTAAATCAACAATCTATATTTTTTATTATTTCCCAATAGACATAAACAAACTGTCGTTTGAAACAATTTACTTATAATTGAAATGAAATCATGAATGGTTGACATGAAGGTACTTGTAATTATAGTCAGTTAAATAATATGTAAAATTACTTTATTGTTATAAATGACTGATTGATTATTGAATTTTATGGAAATAAAAGCACAACAGTAGTAACAATGTCGACAACCCAACGTAGTAGTAATAATGTCCTCCAGACCGAATTTCGGTCATGGCGGCAAGTCTCAATGCAGACTAGCCACCTGAGTCGGATAGGATTATAGTGCATAAGTGTTAGCGCAAACACAGGTTCACTCTCTATTCCCTCATTCTTATAGTCTAATGGGACGGCAATCCGATCCAATACGACCGGAGTAAGATCAGGCGCAGGACCAACTGCTTTACGTGCTTTCTTAGGTATGGATGTGAAACACCGCCGACTTCCTGACTCCGGGCTGCTACTGATAATTTCTTAACAGAAAAGCCTACTAACTGATTTTGGTCATACCCAGAATTAGAACTCTGAACCTCATTATCAGCTATCACGGTTAAACTAGTGCAACGAGGCTGCCATTGGTCGTAATGTAGTAGAATCTTAATTTCGACTTGGCTTAGAATGTCACACGCACATTATTCACTAAAATCAAGATAATTCTTCTTCATTATATCTAAAACGTCCAATGCAGTAAATTGGGTGGTCCTTTTGTTGAAAGTATTGTCATGCTTAGCAAGCGTATTGGCGATGGCAGTACTAGACGTTTCGTACTTTTGTCACTGCTGCCTGTCACTGCTTTGGGTATTTTAAATATTTGCAATTCACTACTACTAACATACCATTATTAATAAATCTGTTTATATTTCAGAGATATGCAATTGTCTAAATGCGATCATAAGCAAGTTGTGAACAAGATTTGTTCATACATCATGGAGATTCCACCTGAAACTCTTCCACCACTGGTTCATCAATTGTTAAAGTATGCTTTTGCTATTATTTATTGTTTACGTAATGAATTTATTTTAGTTATGCCTAAGCGACAATATTAGGCGGGCTCCAGACTCCTGTGTGATTCACGGCGTGAATTCACGCCGTAATTTTGCCGCGAAGTGGTCGCGAAAAACATGTCCCTCCACATTCGCTATCGTTCACACTTTAGTTTGCGCGCTCGTCAAGAATGGACGCCGAAATATGCACTGCTATCGCCGTGACGCTATGCGCATTGGCTCATTAAAATTACGTGTATATAAAAGATTAAAAAAAATGGAGAAAACGAAGATGGTGGATGACAAAGATACATTTTTTTTAAATCAGTCACTTCAATACTCCTATACTTATTTCCTTTATTGGCATCCATGCGTCATGTACTTTCATTTTATTTTTATGCTCTTTGTGAGCATCCCATAAAATAGGTTCGGTATGATAGCAATCGATCAACATGAGTTCTTGCTCGTTGTCCAACTGACGCTCATTTTGACGCACCGTCCTCCGTAAACAAGTCTTATACGTGGTAGAGCCATGCTGCACCTATATTAGTAATATAGTTGTAGCACGAATGGGTCGGCTCGACCGGGGAGGGACCACCTTCTCACAGAACACCAGCGTAAAATAGCAGCTTAACACTGTTGTGTTTCGTATGGTGAGTGTAGAGAACCGGAGACCCTTTTTACTGGAAATGAGGCATTCCATCTTAGTCCTCACGGGTGACAACGCATCTGCATTTTGATTCGCAAACGAGGATAGATGTAGATGTCTATGGGCCACAGCAGCTACTTGCCATCAGGTGGACTGTGTGCTTGTTTGTCACCCTATCCTATAAAAATACAAATAAGCACAACCTCACGGCACCTAGTCTCGTGCATTACTGATTTCACGCGCGAGTGTGGATGCGCTTGTGTTCGCGGGAGGTTCGCGCCTCGTAAACCCTTTGACGCGGGCGCAAAATACCGACACTGAACGGGGAACAAGGCGTGAAAGGGCGCGAAGCCGGTGAACGGGCGCGAAAGCCATCCACATTCGCGGTTCGCGGCTTTCACAGGTGTTCACGGCGCGAATGTGGAGGGAGTATATGGTACATTACAGTTGTTACAAAATAATTCGGATCCTCAATATTCTACCGTTTCCGGCGTACAAATATTTTCAGAGAGATTATGTATATACTATAATAAAACTCTAACACGACGTTTGTTTGAACATGCATCACGCAAAAACTTGGACATAAATGGCGCATGGACAAACATTTATATTCGATACGATTATTTTAGGCGATACCAACTCTTGTTCTGTGCGGGATTTGGACCCGCGGCCCGCAGCGTCGCATATAAACGCCTAGCCACTGCGCTACCAAGTCAATGAACTAATAGAAAAAAAAACTAAATGTATCATAATTGTTTTTTTTTTTTGCATTTTTTGCTCTATAGAACAGGTCAAAAGAATTGGTACATTTTGCAAATACCTAAACCAGGCATAAAGAAATCTCGGAGTCTTTTCAGAGGGCTGAACAACTTGTAAGATAGTTTTAGAAACATAATTTTATACTATGTTGAAGCGGTATTATGGTTGTTGTATGAATAGGTTGCTTTGACAAGTTACTGGTAATAAATGGCATTCCATTTTAGTCCTCAGGAATGATAGCTGATGATAGAATTACCCGGGGTTACAGCATCCACTTACCATATAGTGCTCTGTATGCTGTTTAATTAGATCTATAAAAATATATAAAATGTGTTTTATTAAATTTTTCAGATTATGCAAGTTATACAATATAGAAATTGTGCTCGCCCATTTGAGTCATTATTTTAATTTACACCTGTATAGCAAGCTAGAGCCTCCGCCACAAGATTCAGAATCTACTACGATGGATATTGATGATATAGGTAATAGGTACATATTTTCTTTATCACATCAGTCCCTACACAATCCACTGTTCTGCTTGGGTGAAAAACGAGCACACAGTCCACCAATGCACACTCTATGATCATGAAAACACAATGTATCTCACAAGTAATACATATTATATTAAATTAGATTGTTTAGTGCGATTGCCAAGTCTATTTATTTATTTAAAACATAAAAGATTTTTAATATTGATATGGTCACTATAAGATGTTGTTAGGTTAGCTAATTACGTAATAACTTTAGACAGAAGGACCCTTAAGTAGGGACTGAATACATTAATCGACTTGGTATTACATGGATCTCACAGCTTTTTACGGTAGAAGAACTGAGTTGTGAGACTTGGTTTTTTTTACAAGTTATGTTTTGATGGCATCTCATTTCTTTTTGTAGATAGTCCTACTTTTGTCCTTTCCGGTACCATCTACTTCTTGAATACCAACTACGGATTTTCGGACAATTTAGTCTACAACTTGGTACAACTTCATAAGACATGTCCCATTCTTGTTTTTTCATTTCGTTTACCATTTTACAAGTTTTTCTTTCTTATCTTTGAACATAATTATATCTTGGTACCTATCTACACCTATTATTCCATTATATTATACAGGTACACTGATTCATTCACTGCAAATGTATCATTGTAATCTTATATATTTATATAGGATTACAAAGTTATTTATGCATTTGATGTATCTAGAAAACTGGACTGAAATTACGAAATATTTTAGTTTTTTCTTGATTTATACACTAACCACTAATTGTATTCTAAATTTGAAGCTTCTATGTTTGCTAGAAGTGCCTTAGAGTTTTGATGATCTGTCAGTCAGTGAGTGACAAAATTAAGAAACTTTGACAAGTTATAATTTTTAAACTACCGGTTCAAATTGAAGGAAATTTGAAATATATAGAGTTTATACAATGCCTGCTTGGTTACTGAAAATTCACGCTTCTAGTTTTATCCACAACGAAGTAATAGGCTGTCGAAAATTGCCTGAACTGCTTCAAGAAAAGGATGGTACGGCCGTGCCGCTTTTTTGCTCGACTTAGCGGGGGCACTACCGTGCCCCCAGATAATGTAGCCGCAGCATGGTTCTACCATCTATAAAGTTCCTAACTACATCCTAAATTATTTCAGTACAACATAGTCCAGCAGAGCTCAGTCGCTGCTTATCCACATGCATCTACCACATTACGCAAGGAGCAGCTGATCCTGAACTCATTCGAAAGCACATAAAGTTGTGGCCTAAGACCCAGCTGCTACGAGCACCTTTCCTCCTCGATGTAGCACTGGCTGTGTCTGATAAGGGAGCAGATTTCAAATCTGTGTGTTTGGATGTAAGTTTGTTGAATTGACTAGTTTATACAAATTATTGCATGATTCTCTTAATTGAATACTATAACATAATCCTGTTCACCCTGTAAGTTATGGGAAATTTCGGTTGATTCTAAACCCAGGTTGTTAAGAGGATATGCGATTTTTTCTAGTCTCGAATGATATACTTCTCTCCGTAACGGCCAAAGGTACAGGCATGATATTACGTTAATGATTACTTGAGGATATAATATAACTAAATTAAAACCATAAAAGACAGAATTAGACTCCGCCATATACGCTAGAGTTAGACTCTCTGATATAGATAAATATCGATATATCGTCATATTTTGCATGATGTACCAGGGCGGCTGAAAAGTTTGCGACCTAGGGTAGTTAATGATGAGTAATTAGTTTGTTACTCATGTCACAAGTTGCAACACTCAGTAGTATTATAAAAGCAATCATTAATTAAGTTTGCACTCATAGTTCAATTATTTATTGAACAAACACCGACATCACCATGTCAGCCGAATTTGGAAATTTTCGGAATTTTGAACACCGCACCGTGATAAAATTCCTCGTAAAGAAGGGAAATACACCGAAGGACATTTTTGAAGAGATGTCATCGGTTCTTCAGGATTCTGCGCCTTCATATAAGTTGGTGACAAAATGGGCCCGCATATTTCAACAAAGACGAGAGAGCTGTGAAGACGATCCTCGCCCGGGCCGCCTTGTCCCGGCACTGACCGAGGAAAACGTCCGAAAAGTCGAAAAAATCGTTCTGGCCGACCGAAGAATTAAATTGTAGCAGATTGCTGAAGAACTGCAGATTAGCAAAGACCGAGTTGGAGAAATTTTACATCTCATTTGAATATGAGAAAAATTACAAGCAAAGTCGACTCGCAAGTTGCAAATATTTTTTGGAGCTAGTCGGCGATAACAAGGAAGACATTTAGCAATGCATAGTCACCGTAGATGAAGCATGGATTCGCCAATATGATCCGGAGTCCAAACAAGAGTTCATGCAATGAATAAAAAAAGGAGAAAGGCCGCCGAAGAAATTCAAGCTGGAAAGTCGGCGTCCAAGCTAATGGCGACTGTTTTCTGGGATAGCCAGGGAATTTTGCTTATCTACTACCTACCTACCCAGGGGAACTACGATGAGTAGCCAATATTACGCCAATTTATTGACTCAGGTTCGCAAGGCTATTGTACAGAAACGACGTGGGAAACTGACGCGCGGAGTGCTCTTTCTGCAAGACAACGCGCCCGTTCACACCACACATGCCTCGCAGGCAAGCTCTGAAAGACACGGGGTTCTCAGAGATTTACCACCCTCCGTATAGGCCAGAGCTAGCACCTACCGACTTACGGGGCCGAAGATATGCAGATGAAAACGAAATGAAAGCTGCGGTTGATCGTCGTTTTAAAGAGAAAGATACAGAATATTTTTTGGGTGGGTTAAAGGCATTGTATGCGAGATGTGAGAAATGTATTTCACTTAGGGAGATTATATTGAAAAATAAAAAATAGAAACCATATATATTCTTTCATTAAGTACTTAATGCTGCGGCTGCGGACTTATCAGCCGCCCCGCGTAGAGGGATGAGGGGCAAAATTTTATTTCTGGACGTTTTGACGACGAACAAAACAAAAACAATAGCACATAAATGATTTTGTAGTTGCTATTGTTGATTAATTTTTTATCTATTAAGTTGTAAAATAAATATAACATTTTAAATTATATCAAAATTGATGCGAATTCGATACTCTAAAATAAATATCGATATATCGCAATTAAAAATATCGACGGTATATACCGATATTTTTTACCTAAGCCTTCCTTCAAATCGTCAATCCGCGTACCAATCATGACGATTAAAGCGGACTATTGTGAGGAGCGAGGGCGATCTGCTGGGCGGTAAGCGTGACGACGCTGTTCTTGCTGCAAAAGTATTTGTATAAGCGAAAACAGGCATCATTGTGTAAGCCAGGTGTGCCTATGGTACGCCCCGTGTGTTTTGTTCTATAGATTTTCCCGCTCATCACTAAGGTAAATCCTGCACACAATGGGAGGGGCTCATGTTCAGCAGTGCATGATGATGATTATATTATTACACACGGAGAAGACACGATTTTATTGCTTTATATGACTAATTTCAAATCGGTAGTATTTTCTTCTAAAAATGTATAGATACTTTTATAGTATTTGAATAAAACACTTAATAATACTAATGATTTTGTACAGGCAATAAGGTCTGCAATAGAGCAGCGAGCTCTTGATGAGTTGCGTAGTGAGCAGTCGGCGTGGGTGCGTTCAGTTCTCCCCCCTGATGTGGATGTAGCCAGCGTCCTCAAGGTCCTCACTACTGAAAGGTAGGATAACACTATTTGATCATGTTTCTTCCCTCATTATGAGAAGGTAGCGGACTGGACTCGACAGATTGGTAGGGAATAGTGTCAAAGATGTCAGATGTGTCTTTTTCGATGGTCAAATTACCATAGCGATTACGGTACCTACGGGTACGGACAGTAGCCTCATCATTTAAGATGTTAAAAATTAATAAGCGAAGATCCGCGAAAAAAATATGATGTGTCATACCTAGTTTGAAGAGCACCTGCCACCCTCCCTCAATTATGTGCACCTTTCGCGTCAGCACTAATCCCAACAATAATAATTCTAACACCTCTAATCCCAAAACCACTACATTAGGAAAGACATGCCACCGTTGATAATACAACACCATTGAATGAGAGACATTATCAGGAGAAATAGACTGCGATGGCTGGGTACGAATTTCCATTGACGTTCGTCACATTGAGGGTGGGAAGGGGGAAGGGGGAGGTGGAGGTGTACTCCCCTCCCCTTAAAAGGAAAGTTTCGGAGCCCCCCCCCCCCTTTTCGAGTTTTTTGTTATTTTTAGTTTCCTCATTTTATTGATTAATATTAAGTGTAAAAAACCATGGGGACCCCTTAGGTGGAAGGCGGTTCCCCCCTTCCGTAGGAATCGTCAAGAATTCATCAGAAAAAAATAGAGGGATTGATTCAGAGGGATTTGTGTATCTATTTTGAGACTGCAACGTCTCCGGCGCTGCGGGAAGAGCAGCCTCTACGACTTTGCGTAACAAATCGCAGGCATCCATCCGCTCGATTTCTTACAGCAGGCGGAGGCTGCTCTCCCTACGCGCCTCCGGCTCTATAAAAACACTAGGGGTAGGACAGACTCGTACCAGGTGGAGTCGGGGTCAATCAATTCGGTTCTTTGACATTTCAACTTAACCTATTTTATTTGTTATCTGCCCTAATAGGTACTGTGAAAATAAAACAAATCAAATATAATTAATAATTTATTAATCAATTTTATACACATATTGTATTGCTTTGATTAATTCTTCTAAAACATCTTTATGCGCTATTTTTATTTTTCTTCGCCAAAAATATTCAATGAGCTAGTCTGTGAAGTTTGCTTTATAACTATCCCTACCGAACATCACTTTTAAATTTCGCCAGTGGCTTTCTATTCTTTGTGTGTGTGTCCCGTCTGGTGCCACAAATGTATTTATAGGGTCGCTGTGATTTATGTATGTATCCATATTAAGGTAGGCAATCATAGGCGCTCAAAAATCGGTATGGATTTCAGTGCCTACCTCCACATGCTTTTGTATTAGTGGCACCAATATTTCCGCAGATCTATCATTATCGGGACATACTTCTAATCTCAAATCACCTTCATGCCCAGCATCAAGTGGCCTTCAATATGTCAATATGTCTCCCTCTATTGTACTTTCTTTATCCAAATTTTGATTCATCTATTTGTACGATTTTGCCTGGACCACAAATCTTGCCGTCTTCGTCTTCAAACTTCTTGGTGCTCCAATTCATAAGTAATTACTATCTCCCGGCAGTAAGAAAAACATTCAGTTTTGTCCTTGTTCAAATTGTTTCTCTATCTTCACGGACTGTCTCTACCCGGCTCTCTGTAGCTACCCGGACTCCGGCACCGCTCCGAATTATGGTAATCTCCAGCGGCGTCACCCACGGTCAATTTCTTTCTTCTTCACTATGTCAGTCTATTAACTTTATCGTACAATTAACTTCAAAACGCAACTAACTCCCGTTTATTATAAAGCGTAACACACAACACGAATACCGAATGTTCGGATCAAAGGTCACTTCCGTTTCGCGTGGCAACAATTATTTCTAGAACCTAGCACGACCTTCTCTAGTGTCACAAAGTTCAGCGTTCAACCGACAACGGAAAATGGTTCCGAACTACACTCAGCGTCACAAAAATCGCACCTCTCTGAGTTTGCGCGAAAAATGGCTGTAATGGCTAGAAACAAATTATACTTATATAAATATTGGTATGTTTGAAATGGGTATTTGAATAGCTTTACATTATTAATAAAAAAAATCATGAAATCGTTAAAACATTTATCATTATAGAGCGCCAAAAATAAACACTGTCAAATGCTCGTTAGTAAGGACGCTAGTTACACCACCTAAAAAGGGTATAAAAGGGTCGATCTGGATGAAATATGGGTCAGTCGTAATGTAGACTTTGCAGTGAACACACGTGAACAAGTAACCCAATTAAGAACAAGTAAAGATGGACACCAGCTCTGAAGAAGCCGCTCAAGTGATTGCCCTATTACAGTCGGGGATGCGGCAGTGTGACGTTGCTCGACAGTTGAACCTGTCCCGTTTTTCAGTTCGACGGGTGTTCCAACGTTTTCAGCAGACTGGTGGTTATGTTAGAAAACCGGGATCTGGAAGAAAATGGTGCACATCAGAAAGAGATGACCGTTTCATCGTTACGACATCTTTACGAAACCGTTTTACAAATGCTGTTGAGTTGCAACAACAGCTTCGATCAACTCGGAGAACATCTGTGAGTGTTTCTACGATAAGAAGAAGGTTACACGAAAAGAGTTTAACAGCCCATAGACCTGCTAAAGGTCCAAAACTTACTGCACAGCATCGCAGAGATCGCCTAGAGTTTGCTCGCAATTATTGCGAGTGGACTCTAGAACAGTGGCGGACCGTACTCTTCTCTGATGAGACGAGGGTCTGTCTCTTCTGCAATGACAGACGTAGAAGGGTCTACAGAAGACAAGGGGAGAGGTTCACACAACCCTGCTTCGAAGAATCCGTCGAATACGGGGGTGGCTCGTGTATGTTTTGGGGCGGCATTTCCGTCGACGGGAAAACGGAACTTGTGTGCGTTTCCCGGACTCGGGGTGGCCGTGAGCAAGGGTCATTAAATGCTGCTCGGTACATTACTGAAATCCTGGAGGAACATGTGGTCCCGTATGCTGGTTATGTCGGTGATGGATTCATGTTAATGCATGATAATGTTCGTTGCCACACCGCGGCTATTGTACGGGATTATTTACAGGAGGTCGATATCCCTGTTATGCATTGGCCAGCACGAATTCCAGACCTTAACCCAATAGAACATCTCTTGGATGACCTAAAACGGCGCGTGCGAGCTCGAGATCCAGCTCCAACCACTCTTCAAGAGCTCCAAGATGCGGTACTTGAAGAGTGGGAACAAATACCCCAAGAGGCTGTTGCGACCCTTGTAAGGTCCATGAAAGATCGCATGGAAGCCGTTATCAAGGCAAGGGGGGTAACACTAGGTTTTAAGAACTTTTTTTGTATTTATTAAGTTTTTTTTTAAAATTATTAATTTGCAAATTTGTACATACCCTGTCTTTTTCTTTAATTTCTCTTTCGTCTCGTTATAAAAGTAAAATTCAATTAAAATTCCTGAAAGCTAATGAAATTACCTTTCGAATGATACCCTCAAACCACAACATTGCCATTGGCCTGTTGTGTTAAAATAGTATTTAAATTATTTTTTTCGGATGTGCGATTTTTTTGACGCCGAGTGTATATCAAATGCCGCACGAGCAAGTTAATATTGTCAAATGCACTTATATACGAATTTGTCAACGCGGCGTCTAATTCTAGACTACAATTCCTCGTCGTGGCACAATTGCTAACAAAACCGACTCGAAATGGAGGTCCCGAGCGATTTCACGACGTGCTCTCGACAGCACTGCTTTCAAGCAACTAACTCGACCCCGCCGCCGGTAGGAACCAACCACGTGCAATCTCCGGACGCGGCCAGCTGGCAACAAAACTCCCGTTAATCACCCACACTTCTACCGGTTATGAACGCGCCGTATCGAGCCGAGCGCCCTCCGGCGTCAAATCTTGAAACCAACGTTTGGGCGTAAACAGTCAGTTTTACGTTTTGTTCCACAAGCCGGCAAAAGACTGTAAACTCTACACATTTAATAATAGCTCTTACACAATGAAATTAATTCTGTATATTAACTATAATTCGAAAATTCGATCTAATCTGTGGTAGGGATTGACATAAATATTACAAAAATAATTGATTTTCAATAATTTATTTCTCAAAAAGTACGCGTCACCGAATTTTGAAAGTTTGCGTGTACGTAACTTTTCTGTATATCAACCCCCAACTCGACAGACGTCAATGGAAATCTGAGCCGATGGCTGACCTTAATGTTTAAGGATATGGCCGCTAAACTAAAATTTCGTGGGTCTAAATTCATTCGTCATTTGACTACTGTCGTACACAAGCATTTATAGCTTAGTGAAAGTGGTTAAAGGAGGTATTAAAAGTGTTAACAGCACTTCTGGTAGTTTTTTTAAACTAATTAAAAATATATGTATTGACTGATAAGGAAGAGAAGATATTGAATACTATACTATTTATATCTTTACAGCGCCAACCACCGACAATTAACTGTACTGGGTCTCATCAACTTGGCCTTTTCCCTGCTGTCGGTATCGAGACTTAAGCCCGTGGCTGAAGTGTGTTGGTCGCACGGGAAATTGATATTGGTGCGCTTGTGCAAGTATCAGCCGGAAACCGCGGGCCATATTTTGAGCCAACTGGCTGATAAATTGTCTGGTGATGCTACGCAGCGGCAATATTCAGGTATATTTTAACAACATCTATTCTTTCTTCTTATACCTATTCAGCCTAAAGTCCACTACTGGATGTAGGCTTCCTACATAGTAAGAAGCAACTTTTATTTAAATTCGAAATTTAAATATCAATAGTAACTGATCATGTGTTTGGATTGTCATCTGATTGTTGTGTTCCTGGACTGATTATCTTGATATAGGACTTTATGGATAGACAGTATATGTTGCTAAACTATGTAGAACTAGTTTGTTAATAGCAATTTTAAATGTTAAAGGTGCGAGACGTCTGGTACTGCGATCGTCAATTCGCCTGCCAACGATTAAAGCAAATCCTCTCAACAATGGAGGAAGCCCATGTCGGGCTGTAGATTTTTATTAGTTGACTTTAGTCTTTGCGCTATAGCATGGTGCGGGTGACAGCTTACAGTTTGGCGTGTCTAGAGATGGAACCACGTTAAATCGATTTGAAAAATCAAAATCATAACAAGGCGATTAACGATACATAACGCAAAGCAAAAGTTATCGATTAGCTATCGATATAAAAACTAAAATCGAAACAAATATTTCTTTATAAACTACAATGCATGTAAAATTAAGTTAAAGTTTAATACGAATTATGACATAATAGTTACATAATAGCTGTTCCCGGACCTCGTCAGATTTGTATTTATTACGTGGGTTTTCGTTTTTTTGCTCGGAATTCAACAATATCTGTATGACAGTTTATCAAAAAAAAAAAATACGAAACGCATCCATTCTATTGGGACGACATTTTTTGTGATAATGGCCTTACTCCTCTATCCTTAGCCAACGAGCAATGGCAAGACCCGGCAGTACAGAGCACTTTCGACCGGGACACCGTATGGAAGGAGAAGGAGCTCCACGGGAGGTTCTACAAGGCTCTACATGAGCCTTTTGTAGACACAGTTGCCTCCCTCCACTGGCTACGTTTTGGTGACATCTTTAGGGAAACCGCGGAATTTTGTCTGTGCGATACAGGATCACGTTATTAAGACCAACAACTATCGGAGATACATCCTAAGGGATGGCACCGTCGACATCTGTCGAACTTGTCGCCATCCCGTAGAGTCACTTAGGCATGTCATCTCCGGTCGTTCGGCACTTTCAAACTCTGAGTATTTGCACAGGCACAACCTAGTAGCCAGAATTCTACATCTAGAGCTCGCTCTGAAATACGGTCTCGTTTTTTTTTATAGGATAAGGGTGACAAACGAGCACACAGTCCACCTGATGGTAAGTGGTTGCTGCGGCCCATAGACATCTACATCTATCCTCTATTACAAAGCAAAATGTAGATGCGTTGTCACCCGTGAGGACTAAGATGGAATGCCTTATTTCCAGTAAAAAGGGCCTCCGGCCACCTGCACTCACCAAGCGAAACGCAGAGGCAAACCTCTACTTCACGTTGGTTTTCTGTGAGGTCGTGGTACCACCCCGGTTCGAGCCGGCCCATCCGTGCGACAGCAAAAGCTGCCGCATGGCTCTACCACTGTTAAGCCGTGCCCGAAAATGGCCGCGCCAGGCTCTACTGGGACCGGGCCATCATCACAGACAGGACTATTCATGCGAATAAGCCTGATATTGTGCTGATGAACCTGGCACGGTCAAGGATATTTTTGGTCGACATTCCGTATGACGAGAATCTCGTGAAAGCTGAAACAGACAAGCGAACAAAATATTTGGACCTGGCTCACGAGGTGACCGCCATGTGGGGTGGCCTGCCTACCGAAATTATACCTGTAGTCCTTTCTGCGAACGGGTTAATCCCAGTCAGCCTCTCGGGTCATCCGAGGCGACTGGGACTCCGTGACGGACCGCTCCGGGCTCGATATGCAGAAGCTCCTCGATACAGCCCGCATCGTCCGCTGGTTTCTCTTCCTTTCCTCCTAACCCTCGTCCGTTTGGTCACACCTGCCGAGGGCCTCCATCTGATTGGATTTGTATTTATTTACGTATTCTTTATGCATTTATTTCACTATATTAATATATTTATATTTATGTATATTTATTATTTCTATTTATATATTTGTGCAGCCCAGCCTGATGAGAAAACTATTTAAATACCCTCCATAATAATAATAAACCTAGCAAGCTAACAGCATAGCAAAGTGGCGAAGCAATCAGCTTTGTAGCGGTTTCTAACGGTTACCGTTGAGTAATCAGTTTCAAAATAGGAGGTTCAGATGCCTGGGTGATCAGTAATCGATTGCTGAACAGAATTTGAAAATTCAAAACCGTTTTCAAGATAATCGTGGGACAGACGGACAGACATCGTGAAATCAATAAGTGACTTCGCAAGCTTCGCCACTTAATAATTAACTGAGGGTTAACATAGATGGATTGTCTCATTTCTAGTAAAAAGGTCTCTGCTTCTTTACACTCATCATACGTGAGCTTATTTTACGCTGGTGTTCTGTGAGGGCGTGGTCCTTACCTGCAGCATCGAAGACAAACGCTTAACTACTGCGCTAGCACGTTGTCAACATTAATATCACTACTTTAACATTTCAGAATGCCTATACATCTTGTGCAAACTAACACCAGTCTCGGTAGAGCGGTGTACACAAGTGAGTTTAATCCTCGAGTGCTGCCAGCCCTCAGCCACGGAGTTCGTGTCAGCCGCTCGCGTTCTGGACGCCGTGCATCCGTTGCTCAGCTTCAGTACCAGAACTCGGGACGCTCTTGTTATGGTCTGCCGGAAAGGACTATACTCAAGGTCGGGAATCATTCATGAACTAAAGTCTGACTGTGTAATTTTGTCTGGTTCCCACTTACTTAACACATCAAGCAAACTATCAGCTAGTTTCAGCTTTGTAGAGAGTATATATCATATATACCCATAAGAAACTTTTTCAGTCTTGTCAGTCAAATAAAATTTCTTAGTGCCGCACCATTTTTTTTAAACAAATAAAGCTACAGATGCGTTGTCACCTCCAAAGACTATGATAGAATACCTCACAGCCTGTGGTTATACTGACTCTCAATACCCTTGAAACTAGAGCACAGCAGTGCAAGTACTGCTATTCGGTGAAAGAAAAAGGTGAGGAGGCATCTTCTTCAAAATAAATTGTAAGTTGTTAAAACTTGTTCTCATAAACGTTAACAGTCTCTCGAAAGCTGTGTTTAATATTTTTGATGCTGGTACTTCATGAAGATTTGTTTCAATTGCATCTGGCCTATCCGGGAGTAGCGGTGTTGGGATTACTGATGACGGGGTTAGTGCACGTATTTAAGGAAGAACAGGAGGTGTGTTCTTCAAATTTGGTGAGACACATTATTCTTATTTTATTCTTTTAAGCGGATCGTAGATTATTAATTTTCAACAATTTAATATAATGGATTCCGCCAAGGAACGCCTGATTTTATTAATTATATCAGTGTCGTGTCAGTCAATGAAAAAACATTGGTAATCGTCAATGAAAAAGCGTCACATATTTCAGTGCCCCGATAGGCCCACTAATAGGGCCTGTATCGACGACGATATAATTTATCATGTCGGTGAAAAACGCAGTCACATTTTTAAAATAAGATATTTGGAACAAACACTCACATAACTCAAATGTGATTTAAGATTCCTAGGCGGCTAGTGTTAAAGTAGCGCTGGAATATCATCGACAGCTTTTTTCAATTTTACAGTTAAGCTAAAATATTGCATTATGATTCTTTTGCTCACACAGAGACTCACTACACCGCTGCCTATCGCTGTCCGGGTTCTTGTCCGTGTTGCGTCATATCAAGGTGTCGAGTGTGTCAGCGGCGGGGAGTCAGTGCGGGAGCAGCGACCACAGCGCGCACTCGTACCTCACGCAGCTCGCTGTGGACCTGCACGCCACGCAGCAGGGCGCAGTGTAAGTGCACGCACGCACACACGCACGCACACACACGCACTCGCACCTCACGCAGCTCGCTGTGGACCTGCACGCCACGCAGCAGGGCGCAGTGTAAGTGCACGCACGCACACACGCACGCACACACACGCACTCGCACCTCACGCAGCTCGCTGTGGACCTGCACGCCACGCAGCAGGGCGCAGTGTAAGTGCACGCACGCACACACGCACGCACACACACGCACTCGCACCTCACGCAGCTCGCTGTGGACCTGCACGCCACGCAGCAGGGCGCAGTGTAAGTGCACGCACGCACACACGCACGCACACACACGCACTCGCACCTCACGCAGCTCGCTGTGGACCTGCACGCCACGCAGCAGGGCGCAGTGTAAGTGCACGCACGCACACACGCACGCACACACACGCACTCGCACCTCACGCAGCTCGCTGTGGACCTGCACGCCACGCAGCAGGGCGCATTGTAAGTGCACGCACGCACACACGCACGCACACACACGCACTCGCACCTCACGCAGCTCGCTGTGGACCTGCACGCCACGCAGCAGGGCGCAGTGTAAGTGCACGCACGCACACACGCACGCACACACACGCACTCGCACCTCACGCAGCTCGCTGTGGACCTGCACGCCACGCAGCAGGGCGCAGTGTAAGTGCACGCACGCACACACGCACGCACACACACGCACTCGCACCTCACGCAGCTCGCTGTGGACCTGCACGCCACGCAGCAGGGCGCAGTGTAAGTGCACGCACGCACACACGCACGCACACACACGCACTCGCACCTCACGCAGCTCGCTGTGGACCTGCACGCCACGCAGCAGGGCGCAGTGTAAGTGCACGCACGCACACACGCACGCACACACACGCACTCGCACCTCACGCAGCTCGCTGTGGACCTGCACGCCACGCAGCAGGGCGCAGTGTAAGTGCACGCACGCACACACGCACGCACACACACGCACTCGCACCTCACGCAGCTCGCTGTGGACCTGCACGCCACGCAGCAGGGCGCAGTGTAAGTGCACGCACGCACACACGCACGCACACACACGCACTCGCACCTCACGCAGCTCGCTGTGGACCTGCACGCCACGCAGCAGGGCGCAGTGTAAGTGCACGCACGCACACACGCACGCACACACACGCACTCGCACCTCACGCAGCTCGCTGTGGACCTGCACGCCACGCAGCAGGGCGCAGTGTAAGTGCACGCACGCACACACGCACGCACACACACGCACTCGCACCTCACGCAGCTCGCTGTGGACCTGCACGCCACGCAGCAGGGCGCAGTGTAAGTGCACGCACGCACACACGCACGCACACACACGCACTCGCACCTCACGCAGCTCGCTGTGGACCTGCACGCCACGCAGCAGGGCGCAGTGTAAGTGCACGCACGCACACACGCACGCACACAGAAGCATGCACACACACGCACTCTTTTTTTATCTATTATAAGCTAATGTTTTTTTTATAGCATAAGGGTGATAGACGGGTACACAGTTCACCTGATGGTAAGTGGATGTCATGGCCCATGGACGTCCTCTATTAAGAATCAAAATGCAGATGCGTTGTTACCCATTAGGACTAAGATGGTATGTTTCGTAGCAATGTCTACACTAACCATACGAAACAGCAGTATAAAGCTGCTATATTGGTATTCTGCGATTATCCTTCCCCGGTTGAGCTAATCTATTACTTACATACATAATACATAAACACTCACGCCTGTCACCCAGAGGGGTAGGCAGAGATTATGGACTTCCATTTGGCACGATCCTGACACACCTCTCTCGCTTCCTCCACATCCATATACCTACGCATACACGCTCGTCGGTTAAAGGTACTCTTGATATGGCCCATTTTTAATATATCGCCAATTTGGTCGATAAACTTTCGCCTAGGGCGACCCTTCCCGACTATGCCGTTCACCTCTGCAACATAGATTTGCTTTGTCACTCTTTCCTCATTCATTCTTTCTTCATGGCCAAACCACCGAAGCATTCCTTTCTTAATCCTGGTCAGAACATCATCTTGCAAACCACACTCTTCTCTTATTAAACAATTTCTCACTCTGTCATTCAGCTTCATCCCTAACATACTCCTTAATGACCGCATTTCTACAGCATTTATTCTACTCTCATGCTTCTTCTGCCACACCCAACTTTCACTACCATACATTAAAGTAGGTACTAACACAGAATTGTGAATTGCCATACGTGCCTTTTTGGACACATTCTGACTTTTCACAATAGAGTAGCACACACGAGTAGTAACACACCTGTAGCAACACACCTGTAGCATCGCTCTACCATGTATACTATCTTAATAGTGCTAGATTACTATTGCACCTAATGGCAAGTGTAGCCAATGATAGTAAAAAACATAGACTCAGCTTAACAACCCGCTTATGAGACTCAGATTACCTCATAAGTAGGGTATACGCCATAGTTTCCACACTTGTCAGGCAAGCGAAGATGCTGCTGTCTATTTCCTGTTTTGGTTTCCCTATCGTGAGATCTTTACAAAACCCACGGAATTACTAAGGGTAGTATTTATTATTTTATTGGTGCTACCGATCTCTGCGATCGGTCTCTAGTTGGTCACTTTGAAATTTTTAAATCCATATGTCTATAGTACTTGAAAAAAAAACTGATAGTTAATCTTCGGATATCGAATAACGGGGATCCAATTTTGAGAAACTGATTAAACATGCACACAAACTATGTTATTTTTATAGTCTCTCATATTTTTGATCTTTGATTGTAGCTTGCTTGAACATATAATTCAATTAAAATTATGCATTTTGCGCATAATTAAATATCTATGTTAAAATATTTTAGTGTAACTTCGCGCGTTCGAAACGAAGCCATGTGTTTGGAAGTGGTATCCATACTGCGTCGGTGCCTGGCGCAAGACGCTGCTGTCAAGCAACTGCTATATACTCGTACGTGTACATATTTAACTTATATTATTTTATACGTTTATAGATCAAAATGTTTGTCATAAATTATTGTGTACCTGTTTGTGAGGAGAAAATAAATATAAATTAAAAGATATATTAAAAAAACTGTAAAATAGTCCGTTTTAAATGATTGTTTCACACGACATGTTTGACTGTCTTGTCAAGACTGTTTCGTGCTATCAGCCATTATTCACAAATAGACAATTTTGTTTATTTCCAATTTCAGAGTTGTACAACTGTGTGAAGGACAAATCTGTACTTCACGAGTCCGTGCTGGAGCTAATTTACGAACATGTTAGCAAGTATCTACCAGATGAAGATAATGACTGTACCTTGCTGTTGGACAAGTGTGTTCAGACCACTGCCATTTCAGCTATGCTAACTGTGAGTTTTATTTCATGATTTATTCTGAATTTTTACTGTATATGTCCTGGATTTTCACAGTGCGAGCATCTTAAGGTAACTATTGAAAATTATGTAAAAATGATCTAATAATCAAAACACGAAGAGTGTAGTACCTACTTAGGCAGCCTCCTAGGCCGGAAATTAATGCTATCAATTAGGTATTTGTTTGATTCAGAATTGATACTATTATTAGAAAACACGCAATAATATTTAAAGAAAAGGGAATATTTCTCTGCAATGATTTGTCGCTTAAAACATTCACAGAACTCACAAAGCAGTAAGTACAAGTTAATACCAAAAAAGATGAAGTAGGTAAACAGCAGGGCAGTCTCTCACACACAATGGACAGAAAAACTACACCAACAAAACTCGTAGGATGACTGATTCAAGCCGCCTACGCCGTACTTAACAAATAGGAAATTTGAGTTCTCTACCCTTACTTTATTTTTTTTTATGTTCTATATTTTGTTTCATCATCACCATTATTACAGCCCTTAACAAGTCTACTGCTGAACATAGGCCTCCCCCGAGAAATGCTACAAAGCACGGTCCTGAGCCTCCTCCATCCATCGGCTTCCTGCATGTCTTACCAAGTCGTCACTCCATTTAGTGGGGAGCCGCCCTAGACTTTGCTTATAATTTGTTTATTAATATTAATTTACTAAAAATTCGATCCTAATTCCTAGTTAAATATTCATTTTGCGTTTATCATTTTAGGAACCAATCTCCAGACTCCTGTATGTCATAGCTCAGTTTCTTCAACCAGTGGAAGAGGAGGATCTAGAAGATATTCTCGCCAGTCAGAGCATAGAGACCTGCAGCGCTCATTTGAAAAGCAAATTGAGCAGCATTATGGAAAAACTATGCAGTAGCAGCAACATTGCTCAGATTGATCTGGTAAGTCTGGGATTTTTTCTTTTTCGCTTAACTATTTACAAAGACATTTAAGTAGTAGTAATAGACCGAACATCAGCAGGAAAATGGTTATCTATTACCTCTGTTCTAGTGTACACATAGTGCCATCGTCAAAAGGTCAAGACACATTTGTTTCTTAAATTAAAAAAAAAAGAGTTAAAGAAAATATGCCCTATTGTGCATTAAGGTATTCTAAGTCCCCATATGGTGCAAAAACAATGCGATTTTGGTTTATTCTCGCAAGTATAATGTATGAGGGCGACACTGAAAGTTTTTGGAACTGGCCACTTGTAACGATATAAAAAGTTAAAAGTTTGAAAATGGAACTCTTTGCTAATACTATTGTGTACGTATTTTATCAATTTACCATGTGGGTATGATTTGGCGGCAAATTGAAAATTGCCGTGTCATGTCAGCATGAATTTATATATAATAATTATATAAATGTCTTGACACATTTAGGAGGACCCTGGACTTGCCGACCTAACTCCTGAATCGAAGGCGAAGAGCTTAAAGGTTCAACAAATATTGCAATGCCATGAGGCGTTTATTGCACATCAGATAATGCAGTGGAACTCTGGCAGCACCAATGCAGCTACCTCTGTATATAAGTTGTTTAAGGCTTGCAATGAGCTGTTGGAACAGACAAAGGTATGTTTTTGTAATTGAATGATTGTTTTTTTTTTAACTATTTTGTCGGGGAAAAATTTCTTTCGTGTTTTATATACAAATTGAAGACATTTTTTTTAAATTTAATTACATTAAACTATAATATATCGTCGCCTTGGAGGCCAATGGAGCTAAGCCACAATTTTTGCGAAATGGACTTAAGTGCATTAACGTACCCAGAAAGAGCCATAGTTTATATTATTTACGATTTGTCTCTGCCAAAAAAAAAACAAATATCATAACTGTAAGCTGGTTTTTTTTAAATTTGCCAATAAATTTAAGTGTAGTTTCAGTAAGAATCAAAAATTCTATGCCGCTTAGATTTATTGCGATTATAAGGTTACAACAAGTCATAGAAAGTAATTAAACATTGGTCAATAGTTGTAAGAGCTCCTAGAACTCTTGACCACCACAATTATGACATCGTAATACTGTAGCATAGATAATTGTGATTTGTCATTTTTTATCCATTCCCGATATTAATTTGGAACATTTTAATTGGCGGAGAAAAATCGTAATTAATATAAATTGTGGCTCTTTCTGTGTACGTTAATGCACTTATGTCCATTTAGCAAAAATTGTGGCTTAGCTCCATTGGCCTCCAAGGCGACGATATGTGCCATTTTATTCGATAACTTGTAGCCATCTTGTAGGTAGTGACATAATGCCGTTGCTGTAGAAATTTTGGGATTTTTGATAAAAAATGCGACAAGTAGTTTTGACAGTCCTCTCTTAATGTTAACCTAACACTACCCAAAGAATTCTGAAGAGACCGAAACAAGTGAAAAGTTGAGGGTCAGTACTATATGGTGGATGCATTAATACTTCCCCATCAAGCTCTCTCAATTTTTGCTGAGTGGTCAAAGATGTGTGTGGTCTGGCGTGATGAAAGACTATACTCCTGTATTGATGATCGATTCAGGGCGTTTTTCACTGACATCTATATATACAAATACGCTGGACTGGCTACCCTTCAAATCGTTTGTGCCGAATTAAAGCGCCTCCATTGTAATTGTAATATGACAAGGTCTGTTGTGTTGTTTAAATCATATCTCTGTATTTTAAACTTTTAAAAGAAAAAATTAAAGTATTTTGTGTCGTTTGAATATGTTTGATTTTTTAGTTATATAATAAGAATTATTTTTAGTAATAATGAGTGTGCGTAATTTGTAAACTCGTTACCAAAAGAAAAGTGGAATAGCATTCCACAAGTTAATGAATTTACAGCTAATATTAAAACACCAAATAAATCACGGGAACTTTCCTTGCGTCCTACGTCCTTCAATGGCCGAGCCAATCCATTCGTATTACAATTATAATATAGCTGCAGAGTGGCTCTACTATGTTGTTACTTACTTCAATAAAATCTCAAGTCTTTAATATCGCCTTTTTCTAGACTCCAACAAAACTGAGTAAGAAGAACAGCAAATCAAATTTAAATGACACTAAAGAAACATGTAAGTCGCAGAAGAGCCAGAAGTCACAAAAAGATAAAGGCAAAGGTCCAAACAAACTATCAAATATGGTGAAGGATAGAGCTGGACCTTTTAAGCCTTTACCCTGCGTGTGGGATCTCAAGTTTTGTCTGAGGATACTGGATTTGTTGTATAGGTATGAATATTATGATACACATATAAACTTTGAGCCGTGTAGTGTTGGTATAATAATACAAGAATATTTATTTACTTATTTAAACTTTATTGTTATCACCTTTATAAATGGGTTAATAAAGGATGGACTTAATGCCTACCGGCTTATAATAATATTGTGTCATATATAAAATGCATGTGTACGTCACCCTCATATCGTCCCGCCGGTATCGTAAGAGGCGAAAGAGAGAAACAAACTAGATGATGGGCAGCAGCATCTTTGTAGTAACAACTAAAATATGAAGAAGTGCAGTTGCCAACCTGTCTGCCAAGCGTGAAAACTATGATAAATATCACCCCTATGCGGCAGTCTGTGGGTTAGACTTATGGTCAGCAGTGGACTTTTGATAGGCTGTTACAGTATACGAAGTTTAGAGTGATATATTAACAGCCTGAAAATATGTTTTAAATCATTTAACCGCTCATGTGCCGAGTTCGCGTAACGTGGAATCATGAAGCAAATACAAAGAGGAGACGTTGTAATTAAATCTCACTATGTAACAACGCGTGACAATTTGCGGGGTGAGGGGATGCAAAGCCCCGCCCACTTATACATCTACCGATAAATAGTAAAAATACTCGAATCTTTCCATATCGATGTTGCAATGTAGCTTAGCTACCTTGACGGTAGATGGCGGCATGTCCACAAAATGTTATAAACTATAAAAATAATATTTTGGCGATTAAAATTTCTTTATGTCTGATTGCAAAACAAATTTCACAACTTCGTATGGTTATTTTATCATTACTGAGCTCTACGTAACTTTATATTTTTAGTTCACAGGACACAAAGTGTCGCCATCTAGTGTAGAATATATTTAATTATATTTGAAAGCCGACACAAAGAGATTTTTCTAGAACTATTTTAATAAATTAGGTGTAAAATTACTTACAAATGAAATGTGATGCCATCCATAGCATCGGAGCGTCTATCTCATGAAGCAAATACATTCAGACAAAGAAATTTTAATCGCCAAAATAATATTTTTATAGTTTTCATAATAATTTTGGGAACAGGCCGCCATCTATCGTCAAGTAAACCTAATAAAAAATAACAAAAAGACAGGACCGCAATTAGAATTCAATTATTTTACCCAGTAACCCAACATTCAATATTAAAATGAAGGAAATTGTGCTTCGCTGATTTTTACGAAATGTTTAAGTTATATTTAAATGACATTCTATATGCAAAGAATCACTTAAATACAATTTAAATATGTTTATAATTTCGTGAAAGTCAACCTTCAAGAAATATTTATTTTATCCATAAAATAAAGTCTCTTTGAAACTAAATATTTTATGTTCAATATTAAGTAGGATATTTAATTTGGAACTAAATATCCTACTTATCTCACTAATATTATATAGGCGAAATTTTGTGTATTCTTTCTGTCTCATAGAGCTTATTTCACACTAAGTATGTGTAATTTTTTCACGCAGAAACGGCTGGACTATTATTTATGTGTGGGTTTTACTACTTAATATCTCTGAGGGAGAACAAATAATTGACAAATTATTATAATTAATATAATTTTATTTACAAATCAATAAAAATAAAAATATTTTATTCCAAATTAGGCATCCGAATGAACTTTTTGAATGCCAATCTAAGAACATTAAATTGTATTTGAGTGATTATTTGCATATAGAATGTCACTTAAATATAACTTAAACATTTCGTAAAAATCAGCCTAAGTACAATTTCCTGCATTTAATATTAAAAGTTGGATTTCTGGGAAAAATAATTGAATTCTAATTAGGGCCCTGTCTTTTTGTCATTTTTATGAGGTTTACTTGACGAGAATACGGCCTGTTCTCAAAATGATTATAAACTATAAAAATAATATTTTGCCATTAAAATTTCTTTATGTCTGAATGCAAAACAAATTTCAGCACCTTCGTATGATTATTTTACCAATACTGAGCTCTACGGACCTTTATATTTTTAGTTCACAAGACACAAAGTGTCGCCATCTAGTGTCGAATATATTTAATTATATTTGAAAGCCGACGCAAAGAGATTTTTCTAGAACTATTTTAATAAATTAGGTGTAAAATTATCTACAAATGAAATGTGATGCCCAGAGGCGGATCTACTTAAAGGCTTTTTGGGCTGCAGCCCAGGGCCCAGTGAATACAGAGAGGCCCCAACCGAACTGAAACCAATAGACGATATTGTCAATAATAAAAATTATCTAGAATTTAAAAAAATCCGATCATAAGGTTGGCAACACTACGATCAATCAACCCGTGTGCGCATCTATCAAACGGAACGGGGAATTCCCTGTCGCTTGTTTTCGATCGCTGTATTCCGTGTATTGTCTATTACTGGGGTCTTCCCTCCGCTTATCGCCCGACGCAATTTTGTTATTTTTCCGCACTTCTGCTATCGTCGACTAAGTATATTAACGAATTGACTTTGTTATTGTTAGAAGTGTGTTTACTGTTTAGTGCGTGTGTTTAGTTTACTAAGTGATAGATAACTTAAAAGTTATACGGACCGGACTTTTCTTTTAATTTACTAAAATTGAAAGTGTTCAGCATAACTAGACTTCCTGCTTTTAATAGGCAGTAGGTAAGTAAAAAGAATTATAAAACATGACTTTTTTATTTTTATTTCAGTTTCAAAACTAAATGAATCGAACTCGTTCGATATTACGAACGAACGAACGGTTTCGTGGCAGTTTTAGATACATGGCCACTAAATGTTGGAACAATATACCACCACCTATACGGGAAACTAAATCTGTAAACGGTTTTAAAGCTAAATTAAAAATACACCTTTTAGCATCTCAAAAGTCATTATTTCACGTGTAGTGGCAGGTTATTTCATAGATACATAGATACATCATATATATGGATATATGTGTATGTTTAATTTTAATATAATTTACAATACTTTTATGTATATACTTGGAAATATTTACTTTCAGTGAATGGTAAATTCATTATTTTTCGTTTATGTTGTTACCGATATAGTCGCGGGCGCAATACGGAATCAATATTTATCAGGGCTCCGCTGAAAATCAGCGCTGCTGCAGTATCTGTGGTAGCATATGCTGAGACGGAATACTTTTGGCATCACATCACTCACTCTTGTTGCGATTTATTTTATTTTTATTTATGTTTTTCAACTACTTTGTATGTTTTTATGTCTCATTATTTCTAAATGTATATTTTGTGTGTGTATTGATGCTAATAAACATATGTCTATGTCTATATTTAATGATAATTTGGGAATTGCTACACTCATTACAAAGTAGGTATTAAAATTGAAAGTTCTATCCAGTTCTTTGTTTATTTTCAGAAAAATATCTTATTTTACAGTATGTCTGCTAGAAAATATAAAAGTGGAGCTGAAAAAAGAAAATTACAGTTTTGTCGAGAAAAAGAAATAAATAAATACGCAAAACTTGAAACTTTTTTTAAATCAGAACATATAAACGCGAATGAAATAGCTATAAATCCATTAAAAAACGTAAAGGAAGGTATTTTATGCGAAGAGAGTATAACCGAAGGAAGCAAAAAACCGCAAAACCAGAAAAAAAATACCAACGATGAAAATATACAATATCTTGACTTCGAGCAACCCTCTGGTTCCTCTGAAAACGAAATTGGTGTTCAGCAAAAGAAAGGTAATACCGATACCGAGGTGGAAAGAAATTTAGAAAATATTAAGTTTGAGTTTGAGAAATATGTTGACGTGGGCTTGTGGCCAGATTTGCTAAATAATGATTTTATTAATTTCGTCCTCTCACATGAAATGACTGACTTTCAAAATAAAGATCCGAAGAATATATATTCAGCTTCTATGAAGAAATATAAAGAACAAAACAGATCTTTTTCAAATAGGTATTTCACTAGAAAAATGAAAAATGGCCAATTACTGGAAAGATCTTGGTTATGTTATTCAAAAAGGGTTGGTACTGTTTTTTGTTTGACTTGCAAACTTTTTTCTAAAACTCCTTCTCAATACACAACCGGATTTTCTGATTGGAAACACATAAGATTTTGTTTAGAAAATCACGAAAATTCTAATGAACATAAAAACTCAATGTTAGTGTGGTTGACACGAAAAGAAAATAAGTCTGTTTTAGACAAGCAGCTTCAGGAGCAATTAAATAAAGAAACAGAATATTATCACAATGTCCTAAAACGGGTTATTGCAGTGCTAAAGTTTTTGTGTATAAGAGGCTTAGCACTTAGAGGTTCCGAGGAAGTATTTGGTTCTCCACATAATGGTAATTTTATGGGTGCTCTAGAGCTATTGGCAGAATTCGACCCATTCATACGTGAACATATTGAACAACGAGAGCTGCGACCAAACCCTGTAATATCATATTTATCAAAAACAGTATATGAGGAAATAATTGAGATTATGGGTAAACAGATAATTAAACAAATTATAACTGAAATAAACAACGACGACACAAAGTATTATTCAATTATGATGGATTCAACCCCAGATCTGTCTCACGATGACCAACTTGCTATTGTATTACGATACTGTTTTCGGGGAAAAGTGTATGAAAGATGTGTGTCTTTCATTAAAATTAGTAGTCATACTGGCTTATATTTATTTAATATTCTAGAAGCCTTTTTGGAAACAAATGGACTACTACTGGATAATTGCAGGGGACAGTCATATGACAACGCTGCTAATATGGCCGGAATCTACAATGGTGTACAAGCACTACTAAAAGAAAAAAATAAATCCGCGGATTACGTGCCATGTGCTGCGCATTCCCTTAACCTAGTTGGTCAAGAATCCGTGAAGGTTGCAATCGAAATTGTAAATTTTTTTGGAATAGTGAAAAAAATATACGTTTTCTTCTCTGCTTCGACCCATAGGTGGAAACTATTAAATCGTGAAACAAAAGTAAAATTTACATTAAAAAGTTTAAGCCAGACCAGATGGTCTTGTCACTTTGATGCTGTCAGAGCTTTGAAAAGCAATTATGG